CCAGATACGGAATGGATTCAGAGTCGTTTTTGGTGGAACTCATTTGACTCTATCAGCTTCAGCAATTCACTGTCCAAAAGTACCTGTTTGTAGATCGCCCCCCAAAAGGTGGAAAAAAAAACACATGAGAAAAGACAGATGTAGGGACAATCCGCAGCAACTTGCAGGGATATTTTAGGGGGGACATGTCTCCTTAGGCGCACACGGAAGAGTTAAAGGGAAGTTCATCTATAAGCACAGAGACTGTAGTCACCATAAACCCACTTTCCTGCCGAAAACACACGAGGAAAAGCTCAAGTGTGGTCCTGGAGAATCAAAATCTAGAACTGAAAAAGTTAAATTTTGTGCTTAATAAGAAAAAAAAAAATCAATGGGTTACTACTTAACATGACAATCTGGACACAGGAAAATTTCCATCTCAATAATGTATCATTTTTATCAACTCTCATGAGCACGAAAACAAGTGCTAAGGAGAAATAAACTATGGGAAATAATTTATTTTCTTCTAAACCTTTGAATATAAACATCCTGCTGATTGCCTTCTATTCTTTGTTAACAATTCCAGTTCTTTCACTGCGGTTATCACCCCCATGACACACAGTGCCTCAGAAGAGCTACGTAGATGGTAAGAAGGCTTTCAGAAAAGGTAGCTGGAAAGGCTGGGTGCTTTGGCTCATGCCTGTAATTCCAGTACTTTGTGAGGCTGAGGTGGGTGGATCACTTGAGCCCAAGAGTTGGAGACCAGCCTGGTAGGGAGACCTCATCTCTACAAAAAAAAAAAAATTTAAAAATTAGCTGGGCATGGTGGAATGTGCTTATTCTTCCAGCCACTCTGGAAGCTGAGGTCTAAGGGCCACTTGAGCTCGGGAGATCGAAGTCGCAGTGAGCTGAGATCACACCACTGCACTCTAGGCTGGGCCCAGAGTAAGACTGTCTCAAAATAAATAAGTAAATAAAAATAAAGGTGGCTAAGTTCGTTCCTGTTGACAACTCTCACATTGTTAGTTTTCACATCTAGTTTAAGACCTGCCAGTAGTCAGGTTTTGTGTTTTTATAGCATGGGTCTATTTACTGGAATCGTAAGCAGTAGTAAAAGGTACAGATAAGAAATGTTGTCTCTGGATTTGTAGTCCATCTCTTCAACTTACAAATTGCTTGAAATAAGCAAATTAATCTTGCTAAGCCTGAATTTCCGTTTCTGTAAAATAGGGATACAAGACTTTCCTTAGAGTGTTGTTGCGAGGATACAATGAGAAAATATATAGAAAATGCTTACTCAGCACAGAGCCTGGCCATTACTCTGGCCCATCAGTTCATCATGGTGCATTGCAATTCATTTTTACATCCAACATTATTAGACTTGCACTCTTAACCACTATGTTTTCGTGTCCAGTTATTTCTCTTTCTTTCTGCTTCACCCCTCCTCCCCCACACCCCACCAGTGGCACCACACACTCCATACTTTCTCATTTTCCTGTTCAGGGTTGCAGGTGCAGAGTCCTCCAGTCAGATCTATTGCCTGTGATTTATAATTTATAGGGAAAAGGAAGTATCTCAAGCCAGGTTATGTAAAGGCATTAGATAACCACGTGTTTTACTTGTAAGCCAAGACTTTCATAGGAAGCCCTTTAGAGAATATAGCCCGAAGAAGAACTTATAAAAGAAAATAAAATTTTAATAAACGTGAGCCCACCCCCATCATCAATTAGATATTTAACCAAATGAGGCCCGCTTCATATGATTACTGTTTGTAGAGAATCCAGAAATAAAATCAGATAAGCAAATGAGAGGTCTAGATTCCTCACTGTTCTGCTGTCTTGAACACTGACACTACTTTTTGTTGAGGTTCCTAGCACATGCCTTGGACAGCATGTGCCCCATAATTACTTGGACATATTTGTCTCTTGATATGCCGAGGTGGGTGTCAGTTCCCTCAATCCATGTCAGTCACCCCTGCTCAACTCACTGCGTTAACTGCATGCGTGGGGATGGCGCTTACTCAGTGCTGAGGGCTCATCAAGCTGGACTTCTCACTGGAAACATTTCAAATTGTAATTGCATCACAGAAAGGTTAATGGTACATTCTTCATGGAAACAGTCTGAAATGTCAGGCAGAAAGCAACAGCGGGTGCATACAGTGACGCTCTTCTTGTCCAGGAGACTATATTAGGTGATGCCTTTTCTATATGGCTTTCCTTTGAGCTGACTGCCATGTTACAGTTATCATAGGACTTCACACTGTAGCTTGTACTGGAGTGAGGGTCCTAGAGTAGCTTTCTCAGGGTCCAGGGATCTTGAGGTGAGAGCATGTCCCGGAGCAGAGGAACAGATCTGATGGGCATGAACCCAGGTCTGACTTTATGGATTTCTCAGCAGTATTCCCTGCTCTGAGGAAGTGCTAAGTAACTGCATAGCGACTGTTCCTATGCTATTTCCCAAATACAGTTGAAAAGATTGCCGGTGGTAAGTGTAGGGGGTAGTTTAGAGAGAGTGTAACGTTATCAGCCCTATTGGTAGATAATTCATACCTGCGAATAGTTTGTACTCTTGGCAGTATTTCAAGGCAAAGCTATAGCAGGGTAGTTGCTGAGAGATCCTGGGAAACATGTTTTTCTACTGCTGGATGGAGTAGTCTCCCAGTGGTTGTGAGGTTGCAGCATTTTAGAGCTATAGAAAAAGCTGAGACCAGGAGGAAGAACTAGGCAACTGCTAGGCTCTCATATTCTCCAGGAAGCAAAAGAAGTTTTTACTCTGCTAAGAACCATGACAAAATGAAATTTGGCTTTAGGGACTTTGGAATGCCCAGAAATGGTTGAAGTGAGCAAAAATAGGAGACTATGAAGAATGAATTAAATGATAAATCTGTAAGCTGCAGGTCCTCTGCAGCATGTAAAACCGGAACCCCAGGTAACAACCAAGAAAACCTCCATGAAGCTGGAATACTATGTAGTCATGAAAAAGGATGAGTTCATGTCCTTTGCAGGAACATGGATGAAGCTGGAAACCATCATTCTCAGCAAACTAACACAGGAACAGAAAACCAAACACCACATGTTCTCACTCATAAGTGGGAGTTGAGCAATGAGAACAGATGGACACAGGGAGGGGAACATCACACACCAGGGCCTGTTGCGGGGTGGTGGACTGGGGGAGGGATAGCATTAGGTAGATGACAGGTTGATGGGTGCAGCAAACCACCATAGCATGTCTATACCTATGTAACAAACCTGCACATTCTGTACATGTACCCCAGAACTTAAAGTATAATTTTAAAAAAGAAAGAAGGAAAACCTGCATGAAGCAATTCAGAATAAGTCTGCCACCTGAGGTTTCCTTGTTCATAGTTTTCTTTCTGCAGTACTACATTAAATTTTTTCCTCTATAGAGTGTTTTTAACTATCCCTTTAAATATTGGTTAAGGCATAATGTTATCATAGTGAAGGCCATTGTTTTTGTAAGATCAGTCTTATCTGTCCCATATTCAGATCATGAATTTAATAATTGATACACTAAAACTCTCCAGTGAGCAATAATGCCTATTTCTCTGCACCCTCCTCCCCTGCCACTTGATCCCCTCCAATCCCTCTTCCTGTTGTGGTCAGAGTGGTTTTCCTGACATAGGGACCTGAGCATGTCACTTACTGTGCAGTCTTTTTTTGCTTGTGGACTTCAGGATAAAGTGTAGCCTCCTTAGCATGAATAGAAGATGCTGTCTAAGGCCTCATCCCTCTCTGCCTCTCCAGTCTTATCTCCCACCACCCTACATTCCAGCCATGTGGAATTCCAGTTCCCTGTACATGCTATGCTCTTTCAGGCTTTGGTTTGCTTGGTCTTCTCCCCACAGTGTGCTCCCCCAGCTGGAAGACTTAACTCAGGCATTAACTCTGGGGAATCTTTCCTGCCCACTGCTTCTGACCAGCTGTGCCTTTCCTGAGCTCTCAAATTGTCTTGTGTATATGTGGTCTCCTTCTCCCCTCCCCCAAGACTGTCTTACCTCTGTTTTCCAGGTTCCTAATACAAAGTAGGTGCTCCATTTGTATTTGCTGAACAGATGAATGAGTAAGCGATTCAGAGTCTGAGTGAGGGAGCACATCTGGTGTATTATGGAAGCTGCACGTGACTGTAGCTGGCCAGCTAGAGGCTGGAGCTGTGCACAGCTCTTTCTTTCAGTGATAACAGAGGTCAAGGTATCCTTAAGATTTAGTTCCTGGTTTTTGTAGAAATTACCACTATCTATCCTTCTGAATATAAGATGTTGCTTTGTTGCCTTTATTTTTAGAACTAACAGAACTAGAACACAGCAGTTTCTCAGTGAAACGCAGCAGCCGAGAGCAATATGCACATATATATCACATGCAGGTTTAGGTAGATACCCAGTCAGGGTCTTAGTAATGCCACAGAGGAGGCTGTTTCTCCATTCAGCTGCTTGCTGTCAACTGAAGTAAGATTATCGCACTTCCCCACTGAGTCAACATACAGGCTGCATAGAGCCTTTTCTTAGAAATGCCATAAACTCTCTCAGGTTCTGATCACATTTCATCAACTATATTGGAAAGCCTGAGTCCATCTGATCCATGTTTGTATTCATTCAACAAACACATCCCATATGTCTACCATGTGGCTATTTGAAACAACTAAGTTTATTAACTGGTCACTAGTCATTCGGTGACTGTCTCAACAAGTCTCTGTGTCATCGTCACCGGCCTTTATTCCAGTGTCCACCCCACCCTTAGTATACGAAACTTTGCTGGTAAGTCCTTTTAGTGAATTATGAGCAATCTGTCACACAAGAGTCCTTCCCACCAAATTCTTCTAAGTGCACTCCTGTAAATTGTGATGGCTTGCTGCCTTGAGAGAGCCACACTTTGGAGAGAGCTTGGGGACTAGCTCCCAGGGCTAGGCATGCGTGCTGTCCTCAGAGCACTGCCGGCTGCTGGTGTTATATCTGTGTTGGGAAGGGAAGATGTTTTCTAATAAAATGTTTTCGTTTTGTCTTTCAGCTTACATTTTATTATGGTACTACAGATTCTTGGTGTCCAAAAGAATACTACGAAGACATTAAGAAGGATTTTCCAGAAGGAGACATTCGACTCTGTGAGAAAAACATACCTCATGCTTTCATCATCCGTTTTAACCAGGAAATGGCGGGCATGGTTGCTGACTCTCTAAAGGATGATCTATCCAAAATGTAAATGGGCCTGAAACAAGCCCCACCCCGCCGCCAGTACATTGAGGCAGTCAGTGTACTAGACTTTTTAGGTAAATGTTTAATTTTGAAAACTGATATTAGAAATGAAGAAAGTGAGAACCTCTTGGCTTACAAATCAACTCTCAGCTCCCCATGTAACAGGCTGAAGTCAACACAGTTGATGAATCATTCCATAGGTTTAACCATACGTTTTCCAAGACTCAGGGAGCACAGCGATCTACCCAGAGTCTCGTGTTTACATGAGATGCCTAGTGGCACCATATGGTTTATTTTGGTAGGCAGGATCTTTGCAGATTAAAAAAAAAAAAATCTACATGTTGATTTTAATTTGATTGCATTGTAGAATAGGCTTTTCTGGAGGAAATTATGAAATACCTGCTAGCAAATGTAAAAGTAATCGGTGAATGTTAAGATTATAGTTAGATATGTGAAGTGTATGAGATTATGACAAGGGTACACTCATGTTCCAGGAGCAGGAAGTGAACCTGGGTCTCCTTTAAGACAGAAGATGAAGATCAGTCCAGACTAACTTAGCACAGGTCTTGGCCAGGATCATCAGTGTGACGTCTAATCTACCTGCACTAGACAGAGAATAAAGTTCACCAGACATTCATGTGGTCAACTAACCAGATAAAGAGTTGTTGAAGGACCCCAACTGTGTCTCCTGCCACAGGACAACCAGCAAGTTCTGTGTTCAGCCTTAGCCTGCCAGGTTATGAGCTCCCTGCAGGCTCCTCCTCTCCAGAGCCATGATGGAGAGGCGCCAGGCTGTCCCAAATCAGACTTGTATGTACCAACATGCAGTTGCTCCTTCTGTAATTCTTACACTAAAACTCCATTGAAGACCAGCAATGAGCCAAATAGTGTGCTAGCCATTGAGGATAGAGTTCTTAGTTACTTAATGATTCTCTTCTTCTGGAAATCTTCTAGTGAATAATTTTTTGAAAGTGTCTTTTAAACTGCTGAGTAAAACATTACTGTACATTAGCTGGGAGGAAATTAACATCATTTGCTGGAAGGAAATTATTTTGTTAATGAACCAAACCCAGCCATTAAGTTACATGAATTCACCTTCTGTAGACACATTTGAGGTCTGGTAGAGAAGACACATGTTCCCTGACCTAGAGTGGGCTGACAACATTGCTGCCTTCCCTAACTTGACTCAATCCCGAGAACCACATACTGCAGTGACAGTGGAAGATGGATCCAAAATATTCCTTTTTCTCCTAGAGGAAATCCCTCATGGCATTATCATTCCCTAAGGACAATGAGATGTCCTTCCCCTCAAAACCTAAAGCCCCCCGATGAAAGATTCAGCTCTGATTTGCTGCCAACTCTTTGGTAAGTGCTGAACGAGTTATCGTGCATTGCCATAGCTCCTACATCCCAGCAAATGACTTCTCAGAGGGGAAAAGACAAGCTCTGGACAAGGAGTGCTGTTAACCCAAGGGGAAGAGCTAGTAGTAGATACAGAGGCCATAAGCACAGGGCTGTACACAGAGCTTTTATTGGCATCTGCACGGGAGGCCTAGAAATCAGATATTAGAAGCTAGGACTCATGGCTCTGAGTGCCTTGCATACAGGAGATACTCAGTACTACTAAATCAAAGCATGTAAACAGGTCCTGGGTGAATCATACCTACTGAAATAAAGAGCAGCATTCAGAGCTTTTCTTTTAGCTGTTATTTTAAACATTGTTCCATATTTCAAAAGTCTGCATCTATGAAATTGTGTCTTATTTCTGATTTTTAGAGCCTAAGAAAAATACTTGTTCTTAATTCCTGTTTGTCATCTGAACACCAAATGTATTTTTGAAATAAAAGTTTTACCAGCACTTCTGACTTCATCTGGCCTGATCACTTTGTTGAGAAAGAGGGTGTACAATTTGAGCAGTTCTCCTGTGTTAGACTCGGCTCAAAGTCTCTCTTTTAAAATGAAAAGTCACCTTTCTCATTGCTTTTTTTCATAGGTGGAAGAATCAGATTTCAAGAGACTGAAGTTCATTTTCTTTCATTAGAGATTAGAAGACTGAAATGGACAAACAGTAGATGAAATCCATTTCCCAGAAGCAGCTCTGCCTGTATGTCCCAGTCAACTACATGGATGGTCTTTGTGAAAGTTTCAACTTTCTGCATAGTTACCTAGGGCTCAGCGATTGAGCCTTGACGACTGCCCATGTTTGTTTCTAGTCTGTTCTGAGCCGTAAGAATCTCCACAAGCCCTCTGTGGCTTGTGTGGCCTGATATCCATGGCCACCAAGGGCCTCTCATCATCCACTTCTCCACTCAACCTTTGGAGAGCCAGGGACTACCAAAGGCTTGATTTTTCTTCATCCTACATTATATTCAGAGCAAAAACAGGCTGGGGTGCCGTAGCTCATGCCTGTGATCCCAGCACTTTGGGAGGGAAGATCATCTGAGGCTAGGAGTTTGAGACAAGCCTGTGCTAAAAACGAGACCTCTGTGTCTAAAATAATGTTTTTAAAAGAGCAAAAAAAAAATTTTTTTCAGATTAAAGGGGACTAAAGAGACATGACAATTTCACAAAACATCTGATTCAGAATTGGATGTTTTTGTTATAAAAGACATTGTTGGGACAATTTGCACAACTTGAATGAGGCCTGAAGATTAGCTGGGAATAAGATGCCATTGTTAATTTCTTTATTTCAGTGGTTTTACTGAGGAGAAGTAAGACAGTGTCCTCGTTTGTACTGGAGACACACTGAGGTATCTGAGGGTGAGGGACAGCATGTCTGTTTACTGTCAGATGGTTCAGAGGAAAACAATGTTCTTTATACTTGCAGATTTTTTTGGAAGTTTGAGAGGTTTTAGAATTTGTCACAGTAATTCTTTTAAACCCCACCGTGCTCTCTCCCACGTCAGTTCTCATTGCTGCTTTTCCAGGAAGGCTATTTCTTCTAGACAGTAGATGAAGACCTAGGTTCAAATCCCAGATCTGTCATTTGTTAGGTTTGTGACATAAGACTTCACCTCCCTGAGTTCCCCCAGATCCTCATCTTTGAATTTGGGATAATATTGATATTCAGCTCAGTTTTTTATTTGGGGAAGGTTTTTTGTTGTTGTTGTTGTTTTTAATAGAGATAAAATGAGGCCCTCATACAGCATTTAGAACCTTTCCTGGCATATGGTAGATGCTCTATAAAATGGTGCCTAAAGGAGGATAGCAAACTTGTTTTTCCTTTTTTTCTTTAATTTATCTTCTCTTTGGTATAGCGGAGGACCCTGTTGTATCTCAGTCCCTGCACTGTTTCACCAGGCCTGTAACTTGATTCTAGCAGTCAGCATTTTGGCTCCTAAACAGGGATAATGCTTGTTCAACTGGCTCAGCTTTCTGGACTCAGCCCATGTAGGCCTCCCTACGCACAGCCCAAGATGTTCTAACAGTCCATTTAGAAAAGATGCGGGAAGAAAAGCATCTCTTAGATGGCATCAGACGTCTTTGTCCTTTGCCTTCTCTTGCAGAAGAGAAGAGGTGAGGATATATGTTCCTTCCCTTGGAGGTGGGCCTTAAGGAGAGGTTGGAGGCTGGGACTGAGTATGTTCTGTGGGACCTTGAATGAAGCTCTTCTGCAAGAGTGCTGAGGACAGCAAAATTTGTATGAGTGTTCTTCTAATCACTATTTAAGAGGATTGAGATTTCTCGCCTGTGCCCCATACAGACATGGGTAAGTGCTCACATTGGCCCAGGTGGGGAGTAGTTGTGGGACGTGGATCTGGCCCCTCCCACGAGGCTGAAGGCATCTCTCTAGAGCAAGGCTGGTGTCACCAAGAGTGAGGTGAGTGAGCATCCTCAGAGCATGAGCAAGGGCCAAGCTCTGGGTGGTTCTGTGGTTCTGTAAAGGGCTCTATAAAGAGAAAGCTCTTGGAAGAGAGAAGAGGAAGAGGTTGCCCCTAGTCCTACACGGACAGGTAGAACTTGGATAGGTGGTTTGGAATAGATGAGAGCTAATCCAGATAAGGAGTCTCCTGCTCACCCCTGCATTTTCAGTGTCTCACTTAGGCCTCCTAGTCCTGTGATGTTCTGACTATGCCCATTTTACAGATTACCACTGAGGTACCTTGCTAAGGATCTCACAGCTATTGGATGACAGAGCTGGGATTCTGCTGTAGTTGCATGTGTCCTCCAAAGTTCATGTGTTAGAAACTTAGTCCTCAGTGCAACTATTGGGAGGTGGGGCCTAATGGGAAGTGTCTGAGTCATGAGGGCTCTTCCCTCCTAAATGGATTAATGCCAGTGATAAAAAGGCATGATATAAGGCTGTGAGTTTGATCTCTTATTCTCTCATGCTCTCTTGCCCTTCCACCTTCTATCAGGGAGGATGCAGCACAAAGGTCCTCACCAGATGTCAGCCCCTCGATCTTGGACTTTCCAGTCTCCAGAACTATAAGAAATAAATCTCTTCTTTGTAAATTACCCAGCCTCTGATATTCCATTATAGCAACCGAAAATGAACTAAGCCAGATTCCAATTCAGGCCTCTACTCCAGAGCCACCACTTCATTCTCTCTCTCCACTGCATCGTGCTGCCTCCTGGAGGCCACCAAGGGCAAGCCTAGCAAAAGTGGAGAGCCAGGAGAGCAGGAGAGTCACGCAAAGAGAAATGAGGACCCGATTGGCAGGGAAAGTGAAGAGTAGATAGTTGGTAACAAATGAGTAGTTGTAAAAGAATGAAAGCTATAACAGAGACCAGTTTTCAGAGGGGAAAAACGCATCAGGCAGTAGATTGAGAAAAAGCAGGCCCACATGCCGGGAGCCAGTGCTGTGGCTGCAGTCACATGGCCAGCACCTCTGTAACTCTTGCTTAGCTACCTGGTCTCATGCCAGGCATGGGAACTTCCTGTGGGCTCCTCTGTTCGGGAATCACTGCTCCAGCTTTGAGGACGCCCATTCTCTACCCCACCCCATGAAACGCGGCCCAAAATTCCAACTGCTCCTGCCTCCCAGAGCAGCCCCTCCCACCCTACCATTCCCCGCCAGCTTTCATGACCCCTGGCCTGGCCTGTGTCTACTGAATGACTTATCATCGCTGTGGGAATTATGTCTCTGCGGGCTGCTCCTCCCTGCCTCCACCAACACCCCTTCCCTCAGGAAAGTCCGAGAAGACGGACTTCCATCCTAATCATCTTGGTACTGTCAGGGCGTATCAAATAGGGCCTGCTACACAGGATCGTCTATAAATTTTGTTATCTAAATTGATAAAAAGTTTCTACCATACCATTCTAGGCAAGCTCTCAAAAAGAGCAGTTCTCACATTGGGTCAGACTATCAGGAAATCACATCTCAGGGCCTCTTCATCTTAAAACTGACATGTTAGTGGGAGTACAGATATGGACACTTGCTATATTATCCCTTAAGTGTTTCCCCAGCGGAGCTGTGCACAACTAGGTCAGATAGATTCAAGGATGTCTGAATCCTTGCAGACTGTTTGCATCTGGCACTGGGGGGCTGCAGGAAAGCAAGGCCACTATCCCTATCCCTGTATCCCATTCGTTTTGTCTGATATGGCTGCAACTGTTACTTCCATTCTTCTACAATTAGAAAACCTCTGGAGTTTGGGTATTAGCAACTACCAAATATGTAGTTTATTATTTGTTGAGCACTAACCCCTTACAGCACCCCAAGTGGGAATTAGAACAACAGTACACAAGACTGTGCTCTGGGATAATCGAGCATTTTCATTTTGTGTTGCATTCCTCAAACATTCTGGCGAAGGGGCCTGTGCTGACCTCCCCACATCGGGATAGATTTCCTTGCTGGGTAAGTCTATGGGAAAATTCCTCTTCCCTGGGATGGGAATGTGACCCTATGACTGGGCGTCCATTACAGCCAGGGGGCGCGGTGCACCTGCAGGGTCTCCCTCCCTCACAGAGGGACTAGAATCCTGCCTCTGCAAATCCACCCGGCTCAGGCTCTGCAGAACATCTGGGCTTCCTCCTACTGGCCACTGTGAAGGGCTGCGCACCTGCATGTGATTAGGACTCAGCAGACACCCACAGCCTATAGGGTTGCATGCTGGTGGCACATCGCAGTGGACAAGTTTCTCCCCTGATCACTGTCCCTTCTGAGCAGATGAGTCACAGAGTTCCTAGGGCGCAGGAGCCCATGCATCCATGACCACATTGGGTACCACCCTCAATGGAGCAGTGGTTGGAGGCAGTTCCAAGCAGTCCAAGGCAAAAGCCTTGGAAATGAGCAGGCAGCAGGTCCAGGACCTGACATGGCCAGGGAAGGAGTCAAGAAGTCTATCTTAGCCTTCTTTACCATCAGTCATAGACGGGCCTTTTAGACTTGCTCTTATCAGTGTCTGGGAAATTGGATAAAATTTTAAATGCCACTCCTGACTTAACCTTTCTCCCTGTAACTACTCCTCTACTGAATGTGTACTCTAACCACAGAATGCTGAGGTAGGTCAAATGGAGACTGAAAAATAAAATGAAAAATGGACCAAAGATGCTTGTAAACAAAGCATGAGAAGACATTACAGTTTTCAGTGGCAGGGTCATAGAGCTTATACATTTATTGTACCTGCCAAATGAGTTAGTTGAAAAGGGAACACAATTTTCCTTCCAATAAAAGAGACTCCTTTATTTAGTCATATGAAATAGAGTAGTGAAAAGAAAGCAGACCTTCTTGATCTGTCTTTCACCAGAGAGAGAAAGTCACATGACCATAGGGACCTTCATTAACAAACTGTGGGAAATTGGATTCACCATGAACATGTGCTGCCATCACTGATGAAAAGGTGGGTCACTCCAGTAGGCTCCATCTCCCAAAAGAGGTAATCCTGGCAACAAGTCACTAATAAGGCCAAGTCCCTG